GGGGTCCCGGCGCTGAGCGCACTCAGCCGCACCGGGCACCCTGGCGCCTCGCTGAGTCGGAGCAACCCCCGGGAGGAGCTTTCAGGCTCTGGTCAAGGCTCGGGCCTCGGGAAGCTATCCCTACCCTCGGGGGCTCGAGCCTGGCGTGGAGCTTGCAGGTAAAGCGGGGCTGGGGCCGTCCTGGCCGTCAGTGGTCAGGAAGACGCAGCGACCCCGGAGATCCATGTCCCCCTCTGTACGGATGAGAGGTCTGAAAGTCAGAGGTTAAAGCGCACGCTAAAGTCGGCAGAGCCAGCAAGGGGCAGAACTGGACATATGCCAACCTAGGGAGCTTCCCCCACCAGCCCAGGCTGCCCCCAGCAAAGCCACATCACCAGGTCATAGCCAAATGAACGATGTGCTGTCGAGCTGAGACTTGGGAGGGGCAGGACTCAGCTGGGCAAACACTCATTCATTCAGTGTCATTAGACAAATATTTATTGAGCACCTACTGTGTGCCAGGCAGTCAAGAAGATGTGGGGACACCATAGTGAACAGCAGAGAGGAAGAGGCGCCCACCAGAGCTTACTTTCTAGCAAGGAGAAGGGAGGGAAGAGCACCCAGCAAAGGGAGCAGCATGGGGGAACACCCTGACTGCAGGGAACAGGACATGTTTGAGAATCTGATAAAAGTGTCTGGGCCACAGAATGGTGAGAGGGAGAGTGTGGAAGATGGGGCGTGGGGGCACAGAGGGGCAGCGCTTGCAAGGTCTGGCAGGCTGGGGAGAGTTTGGAGACTGTCTCGCCTGGAAGGTGGTCCCATGGACTATGCTCAGATTGATATTTTTTAAACTGCACCAGTCAGGATAAGCTGTGTTAGCCACAGTAACAACCAAACCCAAATCTCCCTGGTGTGTGTTGCTACATGGTACATCCTTCCTCTGTCAGTGGGGCTCTGTTCATCGGAGCAGTGGGGAGCCCAAGGTGGGCTCCCAGCTGAGCACCCACATGGTGCAGCAGCGTGAATGAAAGGTGACAATTATGCTGGCTTTGAAAGCTTCCGTCCCAAGGGACGCTCATCTCTTCTGCTCACGTTTCATTGGCCAGAGCAGGTCACATGACCATGCGTAACCTCAGAAGAGGAGGAAGTGCAGACCTCTAAGGTTCAGGGAGTGGAGGGGAACTAGGATATTTGTGAGCAGATGTGAGACTATCTTTAGCAGATGCCCTGGCTGCCCTTGGGGCATGGGCTGAAGTAGTCAAGAGTGGGGACAAGGAGGCAGTGTGGGGGCCTCCCCCACCCTAATACAGTGAAGTATCAGCACATCAGAGCAGTCTGCCTGCAGAACTGGCAGGACTTGCTCATGGCTTGGACGTGGGCAGGAGGGAGGGAGGGACAATCAGGGACAATGCCCAGGTATTATGGGATGAACTGTGTTCCCACGTTCCTGCTAACCACCCCCCTCCCCCCCCCCAAAAAAGCTCATATATTGAAGTGCTTATTCCCAGGACCTCAGAATATGACCTTACTTGGAAATAGGGTCGTTGTAGGTGTAATTAGCTACGATGAGGTCACACTGGAGTAGGCTGGATCCCTAATCCAGTCTGCCTTCTATCCTTATAAAAGGGGGAAATTGGATACAGAGACACAAGCAAGGGGAGCATGCCGTGTGAACATGAAGGTAGAGATCAGGTCGAGGCATCAGCTAGCCAAGGAAATATCAAAGATGGCAGCAAACCCCCGGAAGCCACGAGAAGGGCCTAGGACAGATCCTTCCCCAGGGCTTCATAGGGAGCGTGGACCAGCTGACACCTGATCACAGACTTCTAGCTTACAGAAGTGAGACAGTGCATTTCTGTTGTTTAAAAAGCCCAGCTGGTGGTACTTTGATACCTGTGATAGGTTAAGGGTTATGTCTGACTGTGAGTAATCGGGATCACAACTAGACAGTGGCTTAAACAGATTTTTATTCTCTCTTAACAAGATACCCAAAGGCAAGCTGTTCCTCTCACTCCTTCACCCTCAGGATGTAATTTTCTTTTTCAAAGTGTCTTCTACACGGCAAGTTGGCTGCCTCTTTCCTATCACTATTCCAGTCAAGAAGGGGAAGAACAAAAGGCATACCCACACTAGGTGAGCTCCACTTCACCGCTTTCCTGAAAACTCTCCCCAGAGAGCTCTGTTTTATCTCATTGGCTGGGACGGTGTCCCATGGCCAGTCCTGGCTTCAGAGGAGGCTGGGATTATTATTATATATTTTTAAGATGGTGTCTTGCTCTGTTGTCCAGGCTGGAGTGCAATGGTGTGATCTCAGCTCATTGCAACCTCCGCCTCCTGAGTTCAAGCAATTCTCCTGCCTCAGCTTCTCAAGTAGCTGAGATTACAGGCCTACACCACCACACCCAGCTAATTTTTGTATTTTTGGTAGAGACAGAGTTTTGCCATGTTGGCCAAGCTGGTCTCGAACTCCACACCTCAGGTGATCCACCTACCTTGGCCTCCCAAAATGCTGGGATTACACGCGTGAGCCACCATGCCCGGCCAAGGATTTTTTTTTTTTTTTTTTAATTGAAGGTACATTTCTGCCTGAAACAAAGTCAGGGTTCCATTAGTGAGGAAAAGAAGAAGAATGACTTTTGAACAGGCAACTAGTAGTTAGTGGATCCAGGTTTTGTAAAACCTGGGGCCTCTATAGTCCCTCTTAGGAAGAATAATTTAAAAACCCCAGTACAAGACTTGGTCAAAAATGAAAACTTACTTAGAATAATAACAAAACAAGACAAATTTTAAAATATTTTAAGTTGACAAATATCAAAAACATTGCAAAAACATTAGAAAACTAATATAAAATTTTATTAATTGGATACCTGACATCCACCTTTATAATACCTTTTTTTTTTTTTACATTTTTTTGGCTTCTTTGTCATTTTTGATTACCTCTTTGGAAGCCAATGATTTTATAATATTTTTCCTGTGGAGAAAACAGAAAGATAATTCAGAGTACGCCTATAATGATGGGAACAATTTTAATGTTGATTGGAAAACTTTGTCAGTCTCATAACTCATTATTGGTAATGTCATGTAGTTTTTTGAGATTGTTTTCAAATTTGGAGAAAGGTCTATCATTATTTCATAAATGAATGCTAAGACTTGGAAGAATTCTATTTCTTCCAGGTTTCTTATTGGGATTTTATTAATTTTCATGATGAAAAGCAACTGAAAAATTGCAAACCAGAACATGACTCGACCAACACCTCCTAAACCTCAGTGCTGGTGCCCATCCCTGGAGAGGCATAGGAGAAATGCATATGCCCAGGCTCCTCCACATCCCACTGAATTGAAGCCTCAAAGTGGCAAGGTCCACGAATCCCAGGAATGCCCCATGTGACTCCTGCTGAGCAGTCCTGGGCTATGTGACCCCTCCAGTTGCCTTGTGACTCTGAGGGTCTGCAAATCCAGACCTCTCCTGTTGGAAGAATTACATTTTCAACCCTCATGTGTCTTCCTCTGCCCATAGACTCCTGGTACCAGGCACCATAGCACGCATTGCCAGTGCCGTGGCGAGGAGAGCAGTCCTGGGAGCCATTAGCCTGTTCAGGGAGCAATGGCTCAACCCACACAGACTGGCTCAGACCTACATAAACACACCCCACTAAACCCAAACCAAAGCATCCCCAACTCAACCCCCCTTCAGTTATATCCCCAAAATGCCCTTGGCCTCCCCATCAGCTCCCAAATGAGAGGAAGCGTGATGAGGGTGGCAGAGGGAAAGAGAGGGCGTCGTGGGTTGGACTGTGTCCCCCAGAACCTGAGTGCTGAGGCCCTAACCCCCAGGAGCTCAGAATGTGACTGTATTTGGAGACAGGACCTTTGAAGAGGTCACTGAGCTTAAATGAGGTCCTGAGGGTGGGACCTAATGCAATATGCCTGGTGGCCTTAGAAGAAGAGACTGAGACACACAAGGAAGCCCCTGTGGAGACGCAGCGAGAAGACGGCCATCTGTGAGCCAAGGAGAGGGGACTCGGAGGAAACCAACACCTTGATCTCAGCCTTGAAGCCTCCTGAACTGTGAAAAATAAGCTTCTGTTGTTATAGCTCTTCTGTCTGTGGAACCCTGTCTTGGCAACTCTGGCAGCCAGCTTAGCCAGTTACAGCTAAAATATCTCGCTTTTGGAAAACATTTCCAAAAGCATGACCACATGAACCCAGAGCTCAGGCCCTCTCAGGCCTTGGAAGGGTCTGTATGTAGCTTCACAGGGAATCCACCCCCACTGCCACCACGTGGTCACTACATAACCCTCAGGACGACCTACAAGGCAGGAGGGCAGGTACCACCAAGATCTCCCTATTAGGGACGAGAGGCCGGGGCCCAGGGGCTCACTCACAGCAAGCAGTGTGGAAGCCACCAGTCTTCCGAAGCCAAAGCTGCTCTCCCCGCCCCATGCGCCCTGAGCCCACACCTGGAAGTGGTAGGGAGGCAGGTTTCAGCTCCCTATAAAGACAAACATTCTCATCAGAGGGACTCCTCTCTGGGAAGCTGTGAGCACCCAACACCTGTGAGGGGATGGCCACTTGCAAGGATGCTGGAAAGAAACTTCAGTTCCTGCTGCTCTTGCAGAGTAGAGTGTGGTCACCACCACCACTGTGGGGCTGGGCTGCCAGGATTAAATTCCAGCTTTGCGAGGTGCCCGTGGTGACCTTAGGCAAGTAAGTGAAACTTTAGTTTCCTTATCTGTAAGATTAATCTTCTAATCATAATAACTGCATAGGTTTGGGTGGGGATTAAGTGAGTGAATATATATGACTCTGGGTTTGTTTCCTGGGCTGCCCTAATACAGTATCATAGACTGGGAGGCCTGAAACAACAGACGTTTATTTTCCCACAGTTATGCCTGGCCAGACTCCACAGTCAGGGTGTTGGCAAGGCTGTGCTTCCCCTAGAGGCTCTAGGAGAGGATCCTCCTTGGCCTCTTCCAGCTCCTGGTGACTCCAGGAGTTCCTTGGCTTGTGGCCACATCACTCCAGTCTCTGCCTCCATATTCACACGGCTTCCTCCTCTTTGTCTGAGTGCCTTTTATAAGGACACTTGTCATTGGATGGAGGACTCACCCAGATAGCCCAGGAGGACCTCTTCTCAAGCTCCCTAACTTAATCATACCTGCAAAGACTCTTTCCAAAT